CTGCTTAAGGAGAAGGACTTCAATTACATCCTTACCCATTTAGTTGTGTGAGTGTAATAAACTCCAGTTGCAGGAGAGAGGGTCTGACTCCAAATCCACACACATTCCTTTAAGGAACCTGTCCGCTCTTACACGGCTTAGCTTTGGTCAACAGCACACAGATCTCTGCCTGCCCGATGCTGCTCATGTACCCTAGAAACTCATTACAAACATAATAGGTTTTATACTTTGCTCATGCACTTACTACCCTTGAGGCTACCGGTGTACATGAAGTCCCACACACGCATGCAGTTTTGTAGTGCTGGGGCCACTATCAATATGTAACAGCTATTGCTCACAATTCAGGCAGGTTTGTACCAGTAGCTTTAAACCCTTTGTTGGAAAGGAATCTTAAAGAGTTACCTTACATAGTGAATTTCAGGAAACAATCAAGAAAACACTTAAAAAATCCCCCAAGTGTTTGTGATTCACTAAGACTATTGACCTGTCAATGACATGTTGCCAATGCTTTTCAGCAGGTTGATCAGGGTGGTTATTAATGTGGGAAGAGAAAGCTGCCTTCTGTATTTCCCTGTGCTATTATTTATAGCACTGCAACCAACCAACAAGTAAGCCTCAGTAGTATTTTCATAAAACAAAGGAAATACGCTCTCTGCCTCCAAAAGCATACAATGGTTCCCCTTTTTGTTTCATATCCTTAATGATTTTCCTGGTCTTATATTGCTTTGAGGGTGATTTATTTACCCCTGGTACCACCTGCTCCATATATTTTACCTCTGAGATAAATATTTGAGTAATAAGTTACTGTGTGTAGGAAACACCCAAGCCCTGCTTACTGCTGGTAATTAAAGTCATGTCACTGAAGGGAAGTAGTTGGTCCAAACTCTGCAGGCAGCAAAGCCTATTTATTGCAACATCTTCATAGTTCTTACGATGTATTGTGTGGATTCACTCATGCAAAGCTCAGGTGAACAGAGTTTTCTGAAGGTCAATCCAACTTTAAACAGAAAACAGGAATAACCAAAGCCCAGCCTGTAATACAATATTTGTTATTCATAATTCTACCTATGTGAATTTTGACAGCTGATTAAAGCTAGAAAGTAGTTTTGATTATTAATGGCAACTTGCATATAGTGTCATATAGAAGTTAATTCTTAATAAATTGTAATGACTGTATGTTTTTAAAAGAAACAATATGCTTCCTTAGCCTTCCTTTCAAGTACTCCTTTCAGGACTGAGGCTTAATAACAGATTTCTGTAATAGGACAGTATGATTTCTTAGCCATCATTTTCAATAAATATGCCACCATAACTAATACTGTACCAATGAAAACTGAACAGATGTAAAGGATCATCATGTCCGATAACAATCTCAGTACTCACTTGAAATTAAAATGACAGTACTAACTACTTAAAGGATGGGAGGGTGCTGATATTTATAGGTCATCTCTCATGAAGTCTTATAAAACTCAAGAGACTTCTATTATTTTCTGTTCTTCTGCTGGGAAAAAGCAGAAACACTGAGCGCGACATGAGGGAGCTCTGTCTGTTGGCTTACCAGTCCTGAAGCCCTTTTCCATACTGAAGTCTAGACTTACCTAGTAATATCTCTCAGAACAGAGACCAGAAATATAAATTCTGAGTCCTATAAGCCCACCCTCCCTCAAGATAACACAAACACAGGCAATTACCAGTACATATTCACAGCAGAGAGGTCCAAACACAGTGTAAAATTACCATGCACAGTACTTGAAAATGCACACTGCACACCTGAATGTTATCAAATTTTATTTATATAATGCTGCACATTTAGCCTGTGTTTTACAGAGTATGATGAAATTTTCATGTTCTGAAAAGTGTGCAATCTTAAAAGATAAAACACGGGGACAACAATGTAACCATGGAAGGGCATGGACGGATCACTTGTTATGAAATCAAGGCTGCAGCAGGTGTTCCCTGAAGATTTCTTACAGTAAAAACAGCAGTAAGAAAACTGCTTCTGGAAAAATTTTGCTTGAGAAATAACAAAAGGTAAGCCAAAACATGGCCTGTGTAACTTGAAGAGGAACAGAACTAAAGTTAAGTTGTCAAAGAAAGGTAAAGCTAAAGTAACAGGGGTATCACAGGACTGAATCGACCTCGCAGCACATGAATAGTATGGAGACCAAAAGTCTTGCACATCCATTAACACCTCACCAACATATCACCAATGCAAATAACGGTCCTGGACATAGGTCCAAAAGGCCATTGAGTCCATCCCCCGTCCTCAGGGCAGGATCCACTTTATTTGTGTAAAGTAAGTGCACATTGGCACAACCTGCTCCAAAAGGTGTCCATGCGGCTGACTGCAGGCCCCCCTCAGCACCCTGCTCCTTACTATTCAAGGGCCCCTTACCCCATCCCCAAGCCTGACCTGAATCTCCATTTCCATGGTGACCGTCCTTACTGTGCCAATAGTGTGCATGGAGGATAGGTACCCTCCCCTTCTCCGCAACACCCCTGCACAGACACCGTGGCTGACGGACCCTGTCTAACCCCTCCACTCCCTCTTAGTTACCCCTGTAGCAAGGACAGCACCAGCAATGTCACTTCTACTCGCTGGCAACCCTGGAAAGTAAACTCAAAGGGGTTTTTTGCGTGGGGTTTTTTGGTTTGTTTTGTTTTTGGTGTTTTTTTGTTTGTTTGTTTTTGTTTTGTTTTTTAATCTACTTACTACCTTTCCCATTGAAATATCTACAGTAATCCATCATCACCTGGGGTTCATTTGGATCAGCTTTCTATTACTGCACTGCCTCAAAGGGGAGGAAGGTAAAAGTTTGCCTATTCATTATCAGACCTGCTATTTAAAAATTCTGAAATATGGCATGCCAAATGCACCATATTTAGACATATGTAATGCATACAGTGTACAAGAGGACCTGAGCCTGTACAACCCTATGGAGCAACATAGTAGGCATCAAGATGTTCATGCATGTAGATCTGCCAAAGAATACATGTAGTCCTGCCTAACCAGCCAAATATTTACCAAATGGCATGAATGTATATTTACTGTGCTGGTGACAGAACAAGATTTTCTTGCCTCAGCTGTGCTGCATTCTGCCGTTACCTATGGAGAAAGCATTTTTCAGTTGAAGTAAACTCAGCCTGAGTGAAATCAAGTCACAACAAACTATTGCTACGCCACTTAAATACAATGAAAAACTAATAAAAGGCTGTGAGTGCATTTTAAACAAAATGCAGTTGAATTAAAACATCCAAAAATGATTGCTCAGGCTAAAATGTTCGGTAAGAAAGAATTTTAAAATCCCAGTAAAATTATTGCTCACAGAGTTTCTATATGATTAAGAGCCTTGTTCTCATACTCTAAAGGCTTGTTCACATAGTTTGGTTTTTTTTTTAATTCTCTTTGCAGTGTCACAATAGCTCTCCAAATCAAACAAGCAACAGGCCCCGATATTTTGGAAACCATTACTTAGCTTAAAGCCCATCACATGCTGTACCTCCTAGGTCATAAAAAGTAAGAGGTAAATCCAGGCAAAGGAATTATTTTGAAGCTGAAGGGAATTAGGGGATTACCGCAGTAAGGCACCTGCTGGGCTTGCAGTGTCCTTGAAGGGCTGTGTAGCCTGTATTTTCCTGGGGAATGAGAGGAAGGGAGTCTTTTCAGCACAGCTCTATCTCAACCGAGGAACGTGCCTTTGCAAACTGGAAGTCAGCTCAGCATCTACCTGCTAAGTTACTGCTGAGGCTGTGAGCCCGATTTCCAGCCAGCATTAACAATATGATGCAAAATAACCTAAAAAGGTCTAGACCAATTCCACTAAATGATCCTGCCAAATGCCCACCAGACGGGAAATTACCTTCAGCCATGGCTTACCTGAAGTTGGGCAATACTCATGGGTATTTCATAAAACTACTGTCATTTAAATATAACAAAAGCAGACAGAATGCTTTGCTGCTCCTCACAGTAAACGGACACGGTACCTAATTTTGCCAAATACCACTTCTTTCAATGTGTCAGGCAGCAGAGCCTCCAGCTCCAGCAGCACCTGCATTGGGTCACCTTCAATACTTCTAGAAACTTGATGTTTCCACCTTTATTTTCCACACCAACCCTATTCAATACTGCAGCATTCCCAGACTGTTGCTACATAATCCGTGAGTGAAGGAAAGAGAACCTGGGCCTTTACCTGCCCTGAAAAGCTGAAAAATATCAAACTTTCTTCAATTAAAATCCTTGTAAAAGAAGGGGAGTTAGAAGCCAATGTCATCTTAAATTCCACAGATAAAAGCACAGCCCATTGTAATATCAGCATAAGAAGTAAGAGCTGAATATCTCTGATTCAAGTGTTACCTAATTGCTTTCATTCAGAGTATGCATGTTTCCTCTCTGTAAAGCTTGCTGTTACAAAGAACTGTATTCTAGCCGTTAATGTGCAGAAGCAAGTTTAAAGTACAAATAAGTAAACAAACAAAACACCAATAAAATCTGTCTGGATCAACAAGTGCTCACACAATTCCAAAACATGTCCTCTAGTTAAAATAACCATTATTGTGCAGGTTGTCCCCTGCAGTCCAGACGGATATTCTTATGAAAAGACACATAAATGCCACCCAAGAACAACTAACCAATCCCGTAACTTCCAGTTAGCTATACAATGTGAAGCTCTTTCTCTGCTAGGCATATCTGTGGTACTAATCCAATAACAGAACATTTAAAATAAGCAACAACGCAAAATTTTTAGAATTGAAGCAAAAATTTTGTTAACTATTTGCTTTGTTCTTCAGCTTTATATCTTAACTATTTTTAACGACGACTTTCCTCTTACAAACATGCAGAATTAACAACAGTGAACAAAGTGAAGTTTGATTCAAATGTGAAATACAACCTATACAACAGATCTGCTGGCAGCGCCTTCCATCCAAGCCATTTCTCAAGCAGCTTTAGCGCAAGTTTGGAGGGGGGGGGGGAGGGGGTGGGAAATCTATTAATAGAGTACCTGTCTAGAAGGAACAGCAGGGGAAGCTGAACCAACAGATGATGGAGAAGAGGCAGCAGCTGAATCATGAGATGGAGGGCAAGAGGGAGTTGGGGGCTGAGAATGGGATAAGCCTTTAGTAGGTAGCTTATTCTGTGTAGAGCAGAAACAGGAGAGTTATCCAAGAGACAGTGACATTAGCACAGGTTAAGAGAATAATTTCACAGTCATGCATCAAAAAAATATAAAGATAATAACTACAGTTCTGCTCTTTTCTCTATTTCTGCACAGTGAGGAGCCATGGAAACCATCATGGCAAAACCTTCACGGCAAATGATATTGTTGTACTCAGTTTTCTTACAAAAAATATTTACAGTGGGCAGTAAGGTAAGATAGTGCTGGGAGAAAGCATAACGAAACATAAGAAATGCCAGATTGCACTAAGAGCTACTGCTCACCAATTCATTAGAAACTGTGAGCTACCAGTGTATACTTAAGCACAAGACATGGTTTATTCTAACACATTTCTCTCATGCTGAAGTACTCTGACTAGCTTTATGATTTAGATTGTGTTTCACCTCAATTAAATTATGCAATAATATTTAAACACAGCTTTTTACAGTTTCAGTGGAATCCACATTACTTTTCAGATCCACCTAGGATGAAAGGAAAATTAAAAACAAAACTACTGCAATTTTTTTCCGTCCATGAATTCTTATACATCTTCTAACTCAGCACTTCTTCAGGTGCAAAACCTAATATTCACCTTTGGAAACTCCATGTATCCAAACATTGAGGCAAGATGTGCTGCTTTCTCTTTAATGTTCTTTTTATGGAATTCCCTATTTGCTATGGTCTGAGCTCTTTTCTGCAATAAGAGCCAGGGAAGGAGAGCCAAGAAAAGAAAGAGAGAAAGATTTCAGTTAATGTCACATATGTCCTCAGAATACAGCAAGTTTGTAGAAAGACTTTTTATTGTCTTAATATAACCTAAAGTCAAAGAGAAAAAGCTAGCATATCCAGGGAAAATGCAGTAGACAGATTAACATATGCAGTTAAGAGACAGAAAGGAAAAGAAATTGCTTGTCACCTGTTTCATTTTTTCCTCCAGGTGCTGAAGGCGCTCAAGCACTCCAGAAAGTACAAATGCAGCAGAACAGGCAGATGCGAGATTTTCAGAGGTTTCTGACAGACTGGGCTGGGTATCTGTTTTTTGTACAGTCTTTGCTCTCCTGGCCATATGATCAGAACCACTTAAAGACTGTTTGGGTTCCCTGACCTCGTGTTCACTCCTAGCTACCACCTGAAACTGGGAAACACTTGAAGTGAAAAAAATCTGCTTTCTGCACTACCATGCAGTATATGCAGCTTTTAAGGATGCTTCCGAAAGCGCAGCACAGTCATGCACATAACTAGAAATAAAATGTTCTCACATCACTCTTTGCACACTATCTACTGCATCTCTGATGCTTGTGGCCATACACTGAAATAAATCAGTCCGACATAACTTATGCAGGTCTTGACATCCTTCTCTAGGTTTGTGTCAGTTTTTATGAATAACCCCAGATAGCATCTGTGCAGAAGAACATGACACTACACCTCCTTCTAAGGTTTTTAGGAAAAGTTTTGGTGGTTTTTTTTAGCATGACATCTGCCTGAAACTAAACTTACAATCAAATTGTAAGAATATCAACAGTAGTTCTTGGCATAATTCTAGATCTAGTCTGACCCAAGTCAAGCTATAATGTATTTCAGATATAAAGCATTTTCTGAGGAGTTCAGAATAGGTCTCTGAATTTGAACCTTCATATAAAATAGCTTTTGAAGTAAATGAAACATTTGAACCAGTTCAGCTTTATCAAATTCAGTCTCAAAAATGACCTTCCAGTTGGTCTTTTCATAACAGTTTTCTACTTCATCCTATCTGTCCAATTCAAATAAATACACAAACTTTCTCAGAATTAAGATTAAAAAACCTAGGATAGCACACCTGCCTTTAAAACAATTCTCAACTGGTTCATGAATCCGCATTTTTCACCAAGCTGATCTGCAGATTTCCACATGCAATGCAGATCCTGTTTCACTACAGACTACTCTTGAAATGCCACTACAGGATATTTACTTCCATTTCAAACTCTAATGTAAAGTGAGTATCAATACTATTCGATACGAGATCGCTTTCATTGGAAGTACTAAGTGAAAAATTTAGACAGTGTATTCAAAAATTTTGCCCCATATTTATGATGCTGCAAAAAAGCTTTCAGCAGAAATTCTTATCACAAGTTCTACTTAAAGAAATAAAAAAACACCTGGGCATCAATATCAGCTTTTCAGTGCTCTACCTTTTACCTTAGACATTTTTGCCAGGCTTCTCGGGATGAAAAACTTCCTTTGCCTTATCACTACAACAGCCCAAAGCACTGAGTACATGCACAGACAAATTTTCAGGTACTGCTGTAGTTTTCTCGCATGTTAAATACAGCTATGTAATTATATTTATACAATTTCGAGTCTAACACAAATCAACACCTATGTTTTTAGGTTTTTTTTCTACACAGTTCCTAATTCTTTCAAATAGTTTTCTCATCTGGCCAAGCAGGTGTAAAATAGCCTTAAACTTTAATGTGGTTTTCACAATTCTCAGCTAAATATATCTGTTAACCCTGCAGATTACATCCAAATATTGTTTTATTTATTTTTTTTTATATACATATATATATGTACGTGTATATATGTATTTTCTGTAGTTACACAATAACACTGAGTTCCCAGCAGTAAGAGAAATGGTGTGCTTGTCAGGTGTTACCCATATGAGTTCCTACCTGCCTTTTTGGTTGAGGTGGAAGAAGACTTGGATCCTTAGGTTTAGCAAAGCGAGGATTAACAGGAGGGTCAGAAGAGAGCAGGGCTGGTCTATCTATTAGCTCCTTGTAAAGCATTTTTAAAATTATAAAGACAGAGTGGAAAAAAAAAAGGAAGACAGTAAATACGATTCAAAGATCTTTTGAGGCAGAAATAAATAAAAGCTGCTTTTAACGACACATTACTATGGAGCTTAACAACAGATTTTGCAGATTTTTGTCACCTACCCATTTTATTAACCACTTCTACCATCAAAGATATACTTAAAATTCAGCACATTCAGTATTCTTTAAGAGAGGTTACGATCAAAATGTAACGCATCGAGGCTTCCTCCAACATTGCCAAGCAAACCTCTGCACACGTATCACATGCAGAAAGCTCTAGGCATTGACAAGTAGCCAAGTAGAGTGCAAACAACAGTGGTTCACAAGATGAGAAAGTCACTTGACATCTATAAAGCCTACACTTGTAGAGAACTTAAATATGTAAATAAACAAAAGGATACAAGCACAAAGAATTAAGAAAGCCACCACCCTTGACAGAACCTCGACACCTTGCTCATCCTTCCTTCAGATCTTTTAGGTGACAGATCCAAACTCTGCTGACTCAAACCATCTCACTGGCTAAAGTGTGATTTTGAGCTTATCATTCCTAACTTGACAGCACGGGATTATTTCTAAAACACCACTAGTCACACTAACAACAAACTATGAAAATGCGGTGGAATGTACAAATATATTCCATTATGCCTACTTTAGGAATGGAAATGGCAGCTGGACACATCTTGCAAAAGATCAGGTTCCCTTCTTACGCTTTCTAAATTTTCTACAAAAGAAGATTCCACTGGATATGTAGTGTCCTTTATTCATAGAATATAGGAGAAAAAAAAAGTCCTTCTGCAATACCATATGCAGCCAGCTTAGACTTCCACACAAAGCAAAAATTCTCAGACTGGCTTACAAGAGATTTCTAGACATTGCAATTCCACTACACTTTATTAATGTAACAGTTATTAATATATTATATTAATATGCATTAGTCAATCTATATTAGTCATATTTGTTCACTAAGTATTGAGAGGAATACCTTTAATTTACATAAAGTGTAAAAAAAGACAACCCACTTCAAACACATAACAGATCAATTTTTTCCCTTGGAAATCTGCATCACGCTCACAAGGAGGGACTACAGTTTAATTTCAGAGATTACTTTTATGTTCACCTGTGACCTACCTGCCTCCGAAAAATTGTATTTGGAGCATTCTCTTCAAACTTTGCTAACAGTTGAGTTGCCATTGATTTAACTTTATTCTGGTTCATTCCTTCTCTGCCATCACTCTGTTCTTTCCCCACATTTGTCCCTTGGCTTGAAAAGCCTGAAGCCTGTAAGGAAAAAAAAACCACTATGTTTTTCTCCAGTTTACCTACGACACTCAGGAAGAGAGAGAAAGAGAGATAACATCCTTATCAGCAAAGGGTGAAAGAAATACAGTCTACAGTATGTTAAAAATGACATTGGTTAGCATGCAAAAATCACCAAAAAAATACTTTCTTTGGTCCCAGAGTACAGTAAAAAGGGAACATTAATCAGTGCTGTGATGATAAAGCAGAGTCACAAAGGTAACTAATCAGAGAAGGGCTAGGGACCAAGCTGCAATGCAAACTCTTCAAACAAAAATTTGTTTAAACAACTGAGTTGGGAAAAGGAAAACAAACAAACAAACAATACCTTAAACGTTCTTGGGTCAGAAAGAAAACTAGTGCAATTTAGGTAATGCTCTCCTCCTCCCTACCAAATGATTTAAATAAATTTAGCTCTTCTTTAGTGCACACCACAGTAAATTAAAGGTTTTAAGGGGAGAGGCTTTTTGTTCCCGCCAAGCACAAGAGGCCAAGCCCTGGCCCCCCGACGCTCACTGCTCCTCAGCTCTGGTGCTCAACAAGGAGCTGGATGTGTGTGGACACCACTGAACACCAACCTCCTCGAAGACACCGAAAAGACCTTTTCGACGTCTTTTGTTAGTCTCATTTTCTTCGGTTTTCCCTTCAACCTGAAACGGTAAAGCCAAAACAAGTTCTATGGATTACTGCAGCAGTTACTAGATTTACGCACGCAGTTCCTCCCAGGATATTAACTTTCATAACCAGGCAAGTGCGGTCTGGCTGTGTTAAACGAGGCAAACAGAGGTGAGCACTGCCAGCGTGCGGGGGCCCTCATTGCACTGGCGTGCTCAGCAGGGTCGTTCCTCGCGTGAGGAGCCTGGTGGCCCTCGTGGCAGTTACCACGTATGTAAAAGCTGCCCTACAACCCCCGACTGGAGCTCCCACTGGACTCTGATGGGTGAAAATACATGCTCGTACACTTTGGTGAACACAAGCCCTATAACGTTGGTGTTTACCTTTTCCTCTTTCAGTACTATAGAGTTTGTAATTCACAAAGCACTAGCACATCCTTGAAGAAAGAGGCATTACAGCATCAGTTATTCTGTGAATTTTAATCTAGACTACACTAGTTTCCATATAAACAGCAAAATCAAAAAACCCTCACTCTTTCACTATAGCCTCCACATCTCTTAACCTAGATATCTGCACTCAGATGATGTGTTCTTAATGCAGAACTAGCTCCTTTTTTGGAGCAATTATTGTCTGCCTTAAAGGTCTGTCTCCCTTGTAAGGTTCATCTCCCTGACTATGGCTTTACATTACAGTACTTAAGCAACCAAATTGCCTATTTTGTGCTCAAGCTATGCACATGTTCAATTATTTTACTGAACTAGAGATTACAAAAACAATAAATAATACTTCATACTCAGTCCGCAGAAACTTGCAAAACAGTCAATGCTTAAAATTTGTATCAGCTCTTACTAAATTCAGTCTTGAAGAATTGGTACAATGGAGATATTCTTTTGTCTGATAAATGTCACGTTAGGTTATATTTTATGAACAATAAACTACATTCCACTTATTTGCATTTGCCCACACTGTAGCTCAGTGATTGCTCAGCCAACTTAAAAAAAGAAAAAAGAATAAAAGAGAAAGATCAAAGAATACAGGCTTCCTTTTTACATATACACTGTTTATAATAAATCATTACGCAGTGAATAGAAGTAATCCCAAACAACTTCTGGGCAAACACCAAAAGAATGAGATGACAGTATTTTGATTCCTTTGTATGCTTTTCATACATTGTCTTTCAAGCACCAGCTCTCAGTAACCTAGCTTTACACTACCTATAATCATTAGTCTACCAAGGAAGAGTGAACAACGTAACAGCACAATGTATTCTGCATAATAATCTGTACCACATAAAAGCAGAATTTGCCTAAGTGAATGGAGCAAACAAGATGTTGCCTTTCAAAAATCTTACATAAAGGACTTTCATTAACATATTTACAAAGAAGTGAAAGACAAAGCAATTTAATTGCCTAGCAAAACTCCAAGAAAAAGGATTGTGCCCTTTATTGTGTAAACACCTCCATTCATTTATTAGTCTGGAGCACAGGAAATCTCAGTTCCTCTCCAGCCCGGCTGACACTCGTAGGAGAATGGAAAACGTTATCCAGCCCAGCACAGGCTGCCAGAACAGCCACCGCCGCACCAGCTCCAGGCCCCCGCTTCCTGGTCTCTCACAACCTGCGCCCAGATAAGGATCCCTCCTCCAGCCAAATAAAAGGACAAAGTAGATGGTACAGAAAGTTCAGTAAGCAACACTCTGTTACCCCGGCTGGTTTTTGACTGTGTGATACGCAAGTGCTTTCCTACTGTCATGCCTGGATAATGCTCAGCACCACTTTTTGCAGAGGAAAGAATCATAAAACTGAAGCCACAGCCAAATTCTTAACTCAAGCAGTTGCTTTCCAAGGAGCTTCATTTCCCAGCTAGTTTCAGACGGTTATGGCACTCACAAGTCTCTGTCCTAACCCGAGTCCTGTGTTTCTTGCTAAGTTCCATGCCCCATCCATGACAGGGCTGCAAAGCCTCACACAAAATAAGGTCTTGACAGTCCTGTTCCCCAAGTTGATTTGGAAAATATCGCTTCCACTCTCCTTTCAAATGAGCCCCTGTAGTGCAAAACCAAAGGGGCCCGTCAAGCAAATCACCTCATGCTTTCATGTAGTGCCAAGAACTACACCTCCTGTTATGACAGAAGGCTTATTTCATGATGGGAGGTTAGTCAGAGGGCTGTATGGCTTAGTAATGGAAAGCTCTCCCCACTACTAAAAGTCTATTTACTTCTGCAAATAACTCATGGAAAAACAACAACATTGTGGTCATGAAAAAGGTTTTTCTTCTAAAGAAGTCACCCACAAGAAAAAGCAATATTTATTTTGCCTATTTGGTTTCTCACTGCTTAGTTAGCTGGGAAACATGTCACTTGATTTTGTGTATATGTGGGTGGCAGGGAAAAGTTATTTCCTAAGAAGGATATATGAGGTTACTGGGCAATTGACTGTCCACAGGTTTTGAAAATATGTTTGTGGATGGAAAATATTCAAGACGTAAGTCAGTCTAGGAAATATCTGGAAATTCTAGAGTAATTCTTCAGGTGAAAAAAAAAAAAATTGCATTTCTACTAAAACTGAGAAGATAAGATAGCAACAAATTTAAAAAGCAATATATTAAAATACTGAGAAATGCAGTAAATACATGTACACCTGAACTTTTATTAAGGACACTGAATCCCAAAAGAAGTAGGAAATCTGTACTTCTGCAGGCAAAACTTAGAGTCTCTGCATAGATGTAAATGAAGCAATACATTTTTATTTTAACTTTAAGTTAAGCATTAAGGAGGTCTGTTTAACAAAAAAAAAAAAGAAAAGAAAAAAAAAACACAAAGAAAGAACTTGAGAATCATTGTAGTCGATACAGAGTTTCTGGCTAGCCCAGGAAACTCAAAACCTGGAACAGTTTTGCATTAAGCTGTGTTTAGAAAATGCAGAAGTTAAATTCATTTTGGTGGAGGAGTACATGCTGCTGTGTAACTTGTGCTGGTTAATCTGCAACAGTTGGACTTGAGACACTGCTGCCTCTGAGCCAGGTTGTGCAGACACTCCCCATTTAAATTGCAGTTAAAATGAAGGTAGGCTTGGCTATGAAAGCAAAGCCCCTCCTCAAGGTCTCCTTTCAGAAGAGGACCAAGCTAATGAATAGGCAGAAGGTGAAACAGTTTATTACTGAATAATTTCATTAGAGTAACTTTTAAATTAAATCATGTAAAACTTTTGAAGTTATAATCTATTCAGAAACACAAAGACAACACTCTCACTGCACACAGTCCTATGCCAGACAGTATTAACTCAGGTCTCCATAACCCTTCAAGGCCCTGGAGTCTTTAATTGCAACATGTACGGGCATGGATGTTTCTTATACAGGGACATAAACAGGGCATGTCAATAAGTTTTCATTAATAAGTGACCAAGAGAGAAAAAGTATATGGGTATGACTAAAAAATCATTATCTCAGAGCTGTTAGTCAATCTGCCCACTGTTTGTCACCGCTGCAGGCTTTATACATCTGTGAGGGTTTGAAAGCTGCCCTCCAGAACCTTGACAGCATCCACAAACTGTTGAAGTCACTGCTTTAGTTAAAAAAAAGCACTCCCACCCAATCAATAAGCATTCTAGCATACCAGTGATTATTTGAACTGATATATAATATTATAGCTGTATATTTAACTCTAGGAATACAGAACTACAGTACTATTTTTCTTAAAGGCAGAAATAGCCCAGAAAAATTCCAGAATTTCCCATCTCAAACAAACAAACCAACCAACCCAAAAAACCAAAGCCCCCAACAAAAATACAAAACTTAGCATCTAGCATTGTACAAAACCTCCTTAAAACGCCTTTTGAAAAATTTCCAAAAATAAAACATAAAAGACAATACAGGTAATGGAGCCAAGATCTCAAATATTTCAAGTTGAAAACCACAACTTACAAACACACCAATTGAATTTGCTTTCCCTCACTTTTACCTACACTGAAAAAGATTGACATGGACAACAGATCCAAATTCTTCCCAAGTACACCCAAATTCTCACTGTGATTCAAAATTTTGCATTCACAGAGAACGCTTAACTGGGACTATTATTAATGCTTCAGCAATTTGACACTGACAATGCTTCAGTTTTATCCTTACAAACATCATAATGATTGAGTGTGCATGTGTGTGTTAGCTTTGTTTACTGTGAAATCTTATTTTACTTTTTTACTATGCTCAAAAAATCTCCTTCTACAAGTCTTTTAATAGTAGGATATATACATATAAAAAACCCTTACTTCTGAGCCTGACAGGTTTTTTTTCATCTTTTTAAGGGAAGGATTTATAAGGCAAGTCTTCCTTCACAACTTACCTTTGGTACTCGTTTTCTTGGTAAAGTTAAATTGATGTAATTATTAAAGATGAAGTTCGATGATTTTGCTGAACAAAGATCATTATTTTCTCCATTTTGCTTGTCGCCAGCATCTGTTCAAAAAATGACTGCTTAGGATATTTATTCAGATTTCTTTTTTAAATACTTTGACTAAGCCAGAACTTTCCAGTTGAGTGCTGGTAGCAATTATATATAAGAAACCCAGGCAAACAAAAGTAAATACATACAATGTAGGGTGACTTTTTAAAAAAGGAAGAGAAACACCCAGGAATGGACATGCCATATGCAGTCATTCCTTACCAGAGAATCACTCTAACGACCTGATACATGAACTTCATGATGTCAAGCCACAGTTATCCAGCTGCTCCTGTTCTCTGAAACCACCAAAGGCCCACAAAACCCTGGTCTTCAATCATTTTTCCCTCTTTCCTTTTTTAAGCACAAGGTAACCTTTGCAGACAGAAGCAGGCACGCTTGCATGCCAGAACGGCTCAGCTGGGAAAGGACTCTTGGCTCAAGAGCAATGCTCGTAAGCAGCCTGGATGAAGTGCTTCCGCTCCCCAAACTTGCAAGAATTAGGAGCAGCCTGGGTTCGGCTTACCTACTGCCCGCAGAGGTGCGCCCCTGAACAGTTCGTAAAACTTGGAGAGGTACATGACCATGCTGAGCTTGTCGGGCTCCCCGGCCGACCCCACCTCCTTCCCCGTGGTCACAGGGGGGATCCCAAACTCCTGCTCAGCAACATCGAACGCCAGCTGGTTGTTTTTGACAACGTCCTCTTCGTTCAGAGCATCGAAGTCGCTGCGGGGACAACACACTGGCGTCAGTGGTGATTTGCTCTCGGCTCCCCTCGGAAACATGCGGTCCTCCCTTGCCCGTCGGAGAGGTGCAGAACAGCACCATGAATGAGGGCACAGGCATTTCACTGGGTCAAAGCTACAGAGTCTACACAATGCCAAAGGTAAAAGTCTCATACAAATCCCATTATTACAAATCCTGGCTTTGCCAAAAATGTAATTTAAAAGCTATTTCATTGAACTGGATTTTCATGTAGTCCCATGAAAAAGGATTCCTTATTTATGAAGAAACGCAATTCCTCCTCAGAAGTGCTAAGAAACCTTTTTCCTTTCCAAATACAGCTGTGGTACTACAGATTTCACCTGTTAGCAATTGACTTTTTAGTTTTGATTAGTTCTATAAATCATCAAAGCCAGGAGTAGTAAATTTAGGCTAGCATTTTATAAAACAAAGATGTTGTATGTACGCGCACACACATGCATAGACACTACCTTCCTTTTTAAGGTGTTACACGCACAGTCTGAATGAAGACCTCCTGTCCATGTCATAACTGGATTTAGCAGTGCACTAAGTAAGTACATCACACATCTGCAACTGTGTTATCCATTTTCTAATCCATTTTCTATGGGACCTATTCTAAGACTCTGGTCCCTTGAACAGCTTCCAAAATTCATGATTAAAATAAACATGTGAATAAATTACAAAGCTCCAGGCAGGGTAGTTTCTTTCTCCTCATAAGGAATGTGAGTTTTTGAACCCCCAAAGAATTTCTCTCTCTCCCCCGACCCCCACACTCTGCCTATTTCTGGAGCCAGGGTCTGCAGGCAGCCCTCCGCCCCAGACCTGCCCGCAGCCCACAGACAGCCGCCTCTCTTGCCTGCCCGGCTTTCATCTGGCCAAGTCCTTCAGCAGTCCCATTTAATACAAAACCCGACAAGATCCGAACACAATGTTAATTAAACAGCAGGAGGACTGTTAGCTCAGGAAGATAAATCTATCAACTTTCTGGAGAGAGCAGTGCTTAAGAGACATGCTTTCCACAGACAGCAAAGATTACTTTGCTTTCTACACTGTCTCTGCCTTATATCCACAAAACCATCCATAATTCCCGTTTTTTTAAAATAACCCGAGGCAAAAAATATCTTATTCTTACACTGTTAGCTCCTCCTCTGGCAAAGCTGTACAAACAAGCACCCTGGGTATCACTCCTGTTTTTTCCAACTTATCACACCTCATACAAGAGCTCAATCATTTCTTTCCTTTATCCACAGTAAAAGGAGGCTGACAATAACTCATTCATGACTCTTAAGTCTGTGTAGGAAGGCAAGAGAATGCATCTGCTGCATTCTGGAGACCGGCGAGAGGACAGAAGGACACCGCGCACTGCATCAAGCAGGCCCAGGCACCCAGTGCCAGCAATTGCCATTTCCTGACACCTCTTATGCACTGACCCTCTTGTATATAACTGAGGAACCTGACAAAATATTCATACATAAGAAGTCAGGTCTTGTAGGGTTAGGACCCCAGAAACACTGGCGAAAGAGGAATGCTGGCTTACATTCAATCCCTAAAGCAGTTAATTTTCAAGGGCCAGCCCTTGTTGCATAGCCCATGTGCAAGGGCACTGCGCTCTTCTGGACAAAGACTTGTGCAAAACCACCATCTCCTGTGCACCTCTATGGCCCAATTTTTCATGACCCTCATAGCAACCACTATAACACATTGAGGATGGCTCATTTAAGGCTCATCCAGGTGTTTCTGCAACTCATGACAGCGCCAATATGGCTGTGGTTTTAAACATACACTAAAAACCTGTCTCCAGGGACTTGGGAATGCAAGTTTCACATTCTCCAAGCTCTGCAATTTTTGTTTTAAATAGCCATGTGACTCCCACAAACATGATCATAACTCATAAGGTTCAATGCCTTCCCAGCTCTTTGAAAACATCTATATTTCATTTTAAATGGCATGCAAGGACATACAGAAAAAACAAAGCAAAACCAACCCCACCCTCCTCATCCCCCAAACCTGGCAATGGTGTGCACCTCCTTGCAAAAACCAGCAATAGAAGGGGACTGTAGACTATCAGTGTTGTTCTGGTTGGTCTTACGCTATACTTTGGCAAACGCTTAATATATCCTACACTCAACAAGATCTACAGATGTCACTTACATGAGGTCAGGTCTGAAGCGATGGATAATTGCACACAACGCAAGGCCACTCTTCCAGGAGGTAGTCAGGTCTGTGACGTTAACATTACGGTACCCTTCTGTCTGTTTCTGACACCAGGTCAAAAGCTTGTTAGGTCGAATATCTGACTCTGCAGTTACAATAGAAAGCAAACATTTTGATCAGTTTTTGTATGCTCAGAAGGCTCCAAATATTAAGCCACAGCAAACATGAGATGTCACATACCATGTCTTGAGAGATTCACTGATCTTCTAATGGAGCTTACTCTTTCGAGAGGACATTGTTGTAACTCATTGGTAACATATAATTGTCTCACCTACAAGTAAAAGCGATTGGCAGCATAATGTTAGAATTGCTTGGAGAGAAAAGAAGAGTTTTCATTCTAGGTTAACTTTATCAACAGCTGGATCTAAATTAAGGAGTCTCCTGAAGACTTTGTTTATGCACCAGTTGTAGCCCTATTTCTCCCAGACAAAAAATGAACTGTGATTTCACAAGCAAGCCTCATAAGTACTGACCTGGTGAGGTCGAACACAGCTTGAGTTCAAGTTTGGGTATCTTGTTCCCGGGTCAATGGTATACTGCTCGAAGTTCTTGTTAATATTTTCAGGGGTAGTCTGAGGCAAGAGCCGATAAATGCTCTCTCTTATAGAGAAAAAAGATGCAAGAGGTATTGATTAAAATAAATATTTATTATATAAAGAGTATTTTTTTCTTGCTGCTACCTGCACCTTACTTTGATTCTGCCAGGACAAGTGTTATGCACTAAATGCATAATGCATCCATCCCATTTCTTACCCCTGCTCAGCAGGAGAAGGATGCCAGACAGAAAAAGGACAACAAAAAGACAGACTCTTAGAACTTATGCCCATATTTTCCCAAGGCAGGAAGCGAGCAAAAGAAGAAGAAAAAAAAGGAGGTTACATCATTCAGTCATCTGGTTTCGCTTTAACGTCCACCCAAGGAGTAACTTCTTTACCACATAACAGCACTAAATCCCATCATTCTGCAATTCCTATAACCACCACAGCCTTTTCTATTATGCTGTTCAATTTTCCATTTGGGACTATGCCGTGTTTGAGTCATCCCACAGGCTTCTATCTTAAAACTTCTCAAAGCACTGTACTTAGTAATGCTTCTACTTGCTTTACCACAACCGTGACTATTTCTATTATGTATCTGCCCCAAAACAGCCTGGCAGCTGTAGCAGAGCAGGGCAGTTGCCATCAAGACCAAAGTCAGCAACTTCAGCCATCAGACCATGGCGACACCAGGATTGCTGGTGTACTTAACAACAGATTTTTTTGCCCCGGTCAAAAAGACATTACATAGATCACATTACATATGATGCAGCATTATAGCAATTCTCCTTTGCCACACATTTATCAGTCTAAATAAAGAGGGCATCAGGGCTACTAAGCTAAAACGCACAGTTAAAATCACAGATACCAACTATGAAAGCTGATAGTGTTAAAGTATTTATTTAGACCTGTTTGAGGAATTTTTTTTTTTTTAAACTAAAAAAAAAACCAGGTGCTGAAATGGTTGGAGGGTTAGTCTTTTGACACAAGGTATCTTTCATTTATTTCCTTAAGGATCACACTTAATTCTAGTCATTAGTGACTTAAATTAGTGATTTAAACCCATGTCACGCACATTGCTGGATGTCTGCATTAGTGTGCAGAAGCTTACAGAGCAAAGGCCTACTGCTATTTTAAATTGTTCAGTAACCTGAAGGAATGGATAATTTCAACCCAATGCCATTGCAGAGAAAAAGTATACTTCTGCTGTTAGCATTCTGAATTCCACTGCCTTCTACCAATCCTGCAACTCTTCAAAACACTGGAAACGATGGAGAAGACAAAAGCAGCACTCACCGTTCAGCAAGGATTTCTAATGGGGGTTTTCCTTGAGCCCAGCTCCGCACCATCCATGCAGTATCAAAAGCAGCTAAGAATCCTCTTGCACAGCCAGTACCCATTGGCCAGAAGGGCTGTAAGAAGCATTTACATTTTAATTCCTTGTATTTCTTAAGGTCTTATTACAGAAGTAACTTGCAATGTGGATTTGGAGTCTAGGGTTTCATACTGTCTTAGAAAAGTAGCCCAGAAAGAGTTAAAATACAACATAGCCAACTCTTGCAGTTTTTAGATGTTTCTCTCCTCCAAGTCTTATGTAATGAAAAAGGCTGCCTTCACTTTTTCTTTTTTTAACTTCTGTATTTCAAAACAAATTTCTTAAGCTCAAAAGGTAAAGGCTGAGAAAAAACACAGACCAAATACTCAAGAATTAGTCAAGGAAAAAAAGGGAAAAAAGATGCCTTTCTTCTCATCTCCTAATTTTGCTTTGGACTGATCTTTTCGAACACTTCAGGCTGTCAGCATGAGTTCAAAAAAAATAAATCAGTTGCAACATACACTTTTCACTTCAGAAAGAGAAAAAGAGAACATATGAAGGCAAAGAAATTGCAATAAAAATTTGGACCAAGTTTTTCTCTATGATGGAAGTCAGGAAAATTATGCTATGCACCCAAGCTGAGGACACACAGCTCACAGTTTTAGCCAGAAATACAACTTGCATAAAGCAAAACAGGATCTCAGCCAGAGACTGCCAGCCGAGCATTAGTTATGACATAAACTATGGCATAAAAAAAAAGAAAAAAGAAAAAGGAAAAAAAAAAATCTATTCCAAAGAAGGTACCATAGTTTCAGGACATGTAAGAGAGGACTGTTTGTTTTGGAGGGTAGATTGAATGGCTGGATTAAGAAAAAAAAAAAAAACCCACAACTTGGAAGACATTCTAAGATATACCTCAAGCAAACTATCTCCAACAAGCGCCACCAGGAGCTGATGTCTGTGCCTCTCTCTCACTAGTGCAGCATTTTCAGACGCATACATAGAAGTAAAATCAAACATTGCTACATCTGGTTGCCCATAGTGATTAATTGCAAAATCCAAGGAAGGCAGCTGGTAATTGGTTGCAAAGTCAGCAGCTTCTCTGGCGTAGGACAGCAAATTGCTCTGGTTCACATTTTCCCCACAGAGGAGCAACTCAGTATCAATATAGTCCTGCAAGGAGAGAAGCATGTAGGATTAGATACTCCAACTATCCCCTCTGCACTGCAGTCTCATAGCATGAGTGGCAACCACACATCTCACAGCATAAAGAACCAAGTGAGATTTGTTATCTCCTCCAAAAAGTTAATGCACAAACATAGGTTACTGTACTGCCCCAAACAGGAACTCTCTATGCCAAGACTGAATAAGCAACTTTATTTGCAATAGAATATTATAGTGCCTCCCAGTCCTCGGTTAAGTGTTATTTTCACAACATTACTTCCCTCCCATCAAAAGATGTTATCATCATGACTGCAATGCTTTTTTGCACGGGTGCACCCCACATCTGAAACCACACGAGAGCAGAAATATCGATGTTACTGATGATGAAACATGCGGGTCTCAGCCTGGAGGTTTGACTTAACATCTCAGTAACAACACATTCAAACTTGGATCGTAGACGCTTTTCTGTTGTTCTGTTTTGGGCTGGGGATTTTTTTGGCCAGTGTAGTGAAGGACCCGGCCTTTACAGGTCAACCTACTTAAAGCCAGTGATTATTAATAAGGCAGTTTCTATTTATAGCTTAATCATGGATGAGACCCCTAATCACAGGGATGACACCACAGAACCACTATTAGCCCAGTTGTTTTAGACAGACTGGTTTTTTTTTCCACTCAGACCTGAGAAGGTCAGGAGAACAGCTCTGACAGGCCACAGCCGCTGCTCCTCTTCTCCAAACTCCCCACGTATCTCCTGGGACTGCCCCCACCTACAGACATCAGCCCCTCAACCCCAGGGCCCACCGCCCGCTCCCCCCCCACACTGCGGGGGGCTGCTGCCCTCCCCTCTCCCGCCCCAGCTAGGCAAGGCCAGCTGCTCTGCCCTGGGCATCCCTCTCCTCCAAAAGGGCAGGCAACCGTGGCACTGAGCTAAGTGGTCCCATCAGAAAGCCAAGAAGCCTTCTGATAGCTCCCCACAAGTACTTCCTTCTGGAAATTATACTCGACTGTTTTGGCACTGTCTTACTTTGCAAGAAAAATTGACCTCTCTTGGGTTTCCAGGAAGAAGAATTTAAATGGTGCCAAAACACTTTCTAGAAACAGAGGAAAACAAACCCCCACATCTTAGAGAAGGGGGCAAAAAGGAAGAGAAGGG